TTCACAATTCTTTAGCTTCTAAAATCTTTTATTGCACATATTTCTTCGACCTTCAATCGATTTTGAATTTTCAATCTCAATAATTTAAATCATTATATTTCCTTACTCTTATTAGATTTATTCACACAAGTAATGCCATAGATATTGATAGGTTAAAGTTTGGTAAAACTCTAGTTTTGATATCAATAAAAAGGCGCGTAGTGGAGGGGGGCCTGTACCCCTGTGCCCCCCTAGACATGCACCCCCTAGGTCCCCCCCAAGAGCCAGAGGCAGGCTCTAATTTATTAAACAGTAAACTTACATATATATTCAAATTTTTTACTTTTCTTATCAATTAGTCCAATTTATGATTATTTCTCAAATTCTTTCTTGTACCTTTTTACATATTTACAATATTTTTTTCGCTGGGTTTTATTTAAAATGATTGGTAATTATGGTCAGATGACTAATAGTCAGCCTTCAGGTAGATTAATATAGATTTTAAACTTTATTTCTTTTAATACCGGTTATTTAGGGGGTGCACAAAAGAAATTTCGGCAACCCCTAGGCTAAACCTTCACTTATTTGATTAAGCACAATTTAAGCCATATAGTTTAAAATATCATAAAACTACCACATCATGTTGCAAAGATATAAGGATTAGTAAATTAGATTTTGAGGTGAGTAATCAGATATGTTTAGCATGTAAACTTCATAAAGTAAATTCTATCCCTTCATAGCACCAATATTTCTGAAGGGTTTTAAATGAGTAAAATTGAATAAAACTTTATAGGATAGAATATAAAACAATTTTAAATATAATTATAATACAAAATACCCCCCTTTTCTTTTCCTATCATGCAATATGATTCCTCCTCACATGGTTCCTACTCACCCTTCTTAGAGCATCTATTTCCCAAAGATATTCAATATCATCTTTCTCTCATCCAATCTTTATTGACTTTCGTGTCGAATATGCAAGTGCACTTTTGGTACGAAGTACAATTCAAAAATAAAGAAACAGAGTTCTTGCCAAAAACTCAGATTTTCTTATTTCTATATCTTTTCAACCCGATGTCGTACCCTTTGATATTTCAAATTGTTTTTTCTGCTAGATCTGTTAAATAGAATAAATTATAAATTTTAAAGGCTTACATTACAGAATTAGGTTGCAAAGATATGGGGATTAGAAAATTNCAGGTTTCAAAGATATAGGGATTTAGAAAATTTGAATTTGCGGCAAAACTTCTTCATATTTAAGCTTGCAAAGATCATCCCGGAAATTACCTTTTGTTAATTCGATTAATTTGGGCTTTATTTCAATATCATTTTTATATCTAGATTTAGAGAGAAAATTATACATTTTTTCATGTTTAAAAATTTTTTATAATTTTCTAAAAACGGTGAAAAATGTTTTTTTTTTATTTGTTTTTTTAATTTTTTTTACTTTTCATGGTTCCAAGATGTATCCATGAAAACCACGCCCTGCAGAAGCCAGGTGCAGAATATCAACTAGAAAAGTATATATATAGTTTTTTAATTAAGTTTTAACAAATACTAAAAAAAATTTTTGCGTTGGACTTGCACAAAAAGCACATACTTCATTTTTATAATTTACAGCAACCTTCATAAAATTTTTACTTAAAACTTTATAGTTGATTTATAATATTTGTGCACATGGTTCATGGTTCATTATGATAAGATGCATCTGTGTACAAAACTGAAATATGTGTTTGCAATCTTATCTTTTAATAGAGTCTGAACCAGTTCTAGCTCCAGGTCCCACAGCAGCTAGGGGATCCTCCCTTCTTGCATTGTCTTACTCCAGTCTTATCTAATCCCATGCATGGATCAAAATATAAGATTGTGCAGATGATACCTTGATTTCTATCTTCTAAGATCATAGGTACTCATCCTAAACCTTTGTAGATATTATAACTTAACTGCTTCCAAGTTCTACTTTCAATTCAACTTTTTTTGTTTACATAATTTTAGTATGATCTATTGTTTGATTTGATATTTTAGTTTTCATCTCATTTCTTGACAGATTTCAAATATTTAAATTGTTTAATTTTCTTTGTATTTATTTTTCGTGTATTTTTATCTATAGTTTTTACGAATGCTTTATTTTTTGAAAATATATTTTACGCGCAAAATATACAAAAAGACAATATATATGTATATCAAACTAATTTTGTAATCTAAAAGTTTCAAAGGAATTGAGTTTTTGCCACGAACCCTAATTTTTTATCCCTATATCTTTGCAATCCGATGTAGTAGACCTTAGTTATTTCAAACTGTTAGAACAAATAGTCTTTAAGGTTGAAAATGTGAAAGGGTTCTACCATGAGGTTGAAAATGTGAAAGGGTTCTACCATGAAGTTGAAAATGTGAAAGGGTTCTACCATGAGGTTGAAAATGTGAAAGGGTTCTACCATGAGGTTGAAAATGTGAAAGGGTTCTACCATGAGGTTGAAAATGTGAAAGGGTTCTACCATGAGGTTGAAAATGTGAAAGGGTTCTACCATGAGGTTGAAAAGATGTAGATCAGAAAATCTGAGTTTGTGGCAAAAAATCAGTTCCATTGTCTTTTTTTCTGTTCATTTTCTTCTTCTGGTAGTTTCCCCTTCTTTTCTTTTAACAGTTTCACCTCCTACGCCTATCTCCGTGAAACCCAATGTATGAGGATATAAAGAAATTTTGATTTAATGATAAATTTATTAGATTATGTATGTATGTTTATCGATTTATATAGTTCCAGCTTATTTTCTTATAGAAATGTTATCATTTTCATTTTGATATGCTTTGTCTGAGACATTTTAGGTGACATATGTTTTATTAATTTGATATGTATATATACAGCTTCACTGTGGCTTCACAGATTATATGCTATAGCCATGGTTCCTGAACTGATTGCATCTAGCGGGCTGTTAAACGAGGATAAAAAGCTTGATTTCACATATAATTATTCTCTCTTTTTAGAAAATAGTGTTGATAATTTTAATTTTATTGAAAATCCTTTACTGTCGAATAAATTGTCAAGCAATTATTACAATGAATCTTCCTTTAGTGACTGTTTTAAAAACTTTAAATCACCACTTGTTCTGAATTTAAATATCCAATACTTATTGAGTAAATTCGAAAAGTTTACAAGCTTGCTTTCTATTCTTTCTGAAAAGGGGATAATTTTTGATATAATCTCTCTGCAGGAAATTTCCTACATTAATGATGTTTCTCTGGTAAATATTCCTGGTTACCATCCTNAAACTTTTCAAGTTAAATTTTTTGATTAAAGACTGATTGTACGGGAGACCGACTGAAAACAGTTTCGGCTAGTTCCGTCTCCCTGCCATAAACTGTAATTTCAACTAATGTTAATTATAAATATCCATTTTTACATGTATAGTTTGTGGCTAAAAATATAATTTGATTTGATTGATTTGATTTGATATCATGATAGACCTCTTAAATATTTCTTATTTCCATTTTCTAATCTTCAATTAAATTTCAAGTGCATAAATCTTTTTATTTCAAAGAAAATTACCTTTTCTTTATACTCAAATAA